TAAAGTAAAAAGGCAACATCTTGAATGGAGAAAACATTTATAAATCATATCTGACAAGGGGTTAATATCCAGGACATACAAAGAAATCTTACAGGGGACTCCTGTGTGGCTTAGTGGTTGAGCGTCTGCCTTCGGCTCCGGGCATGACCCTGGGGTCCTGGGATCGAGTCCCACATAGGGGTCCCTGCATGGAGCCTGCTTCTCCCTCTACCTCTCTCTGTTTGTCTCTCATGAATAAATAAATGGAATCTTTAAAAAGGAAGAAAGAAAGAAATCTTAAAACTCAACATCAAAGAAACCAAGCAACTCAATTTAAAAAGGGAAAAGGATTTTAATAGACATTTCTCCAAAGAAGATATACAAGTGGCCAGTAAACACATAAGAAGATGCTTAACATTACTAGCCGTTAGGGAAATGCAAATCAAAACCACAATGAAATATCACTTCACATCCATTAGGATGGTTACTATAAAAAACCAAGGAGCACCTGGGTGGCTCAGTCAGTTAGGCATCTGCCTTCACCTCAGGTCATGATCCCAGGGTCCTGGGATTGAGCCCCACACTGGGCTCAGCATGAAGCCTGCTTCTCCCTCTCCCTCTGCTGCTCCCCCTCCCTCTACTGCTCCCCTTATGTGTGCATGCTCTGTCTCTCTCAAATAAATAAACAAATAAATAAATAAATAAATAAATAAATAAATAAAATTTTATTTTTATTTTTATTTTTTTAAAAATTTTTTTTAATTTTTATTTATTTTATGATAGTTACACACACACACACACAGAGAGAGAGAGAGAGAGAGAGAGAGAGAGAGGCAGAGACATAGGCAGAGGGAGAAGCAGGCTCCATGCACCGGGAGCCCGATGTGGGATTCGATCCGGGGTCTCCAGAATCGCGCCCTGGGCCAAAGGCAGGCGCCAAACCGCTGTGCCACCCAGGGATCCCCCCCTTTTTTTTAATGACAAATATTGGTGAAGATGTGGAGAATTTGGAACCTTTGTGTTGGTAGGAGTGTAAATGCCACCATTGTGGGAAACAATATGATGGTTCCTCAAAAAGTTAAAAAGAGAATTATCATATGATTTAGCAATTCTACTTCTGGATATATACCCAAAATAATTGAAAACAGCAACTTCAAAAGATATTTGCACCCCATGTTCTTAGCAGCATCATGTGCAAGAGCCAAAGTTTGGAAGCATCCTAGGTCTCCCATCATCAGGTGAGGGGATAAGGAAAATGTGGTGTGTGTCAAATAGAAGTAGAATGGTGGATATCAGGAACTAGGGGAGGAAGAAATGGGGGGGGCAGTTATTAATGAGTGCAGAATTTCAGTTGAAAAAGTTATGCAGATTGTGCAACAATGTGAACATTCCTAACACTACTGAATTATACACTTAAAATGGTTAAGATGGTAAATTTTATGTTATGTATATTTTGCCACAATTTAAAATAAAGTCAGAATTATCAATTTAGGACTTAGGAGTTTATGACTGGAATTTAAGTCAGAACTGTTATAGGAAAGAGTAGATATTGACGGCTAGCCAGAGCCTGGGTTCCACAACATTCCAGTATATGGAGGTCAGGTAGTAGAAGAGGATGCATTAAGGGGAACTGAGTACAAGTAAAAAGGTAGGGGGATGCGTGGGTTGGCTCAGTGGTTGAGCCTTCGGCTCAGGGCATGATCCTGGAGTCCCAGGATCGAGTTGCTCATCAGGCTTCCTGTGGAGAGCCTGCTTCCCCCTCTGACTATGTCTCTACATCTCTCTCTCTGTCTCTCATGAGTGAATGAATAAAATATTTAAAAAGAAAAAAGTAGAAAAGGGGATCCCTGGGTGGCGCAGCGGTTTGGCGCCTGCCTTTGGCCCAGGGCGCGATCCTAGAGACCCGGGATCGAGTCCCACGTCGGGCTCCCGGTGCATGGAGCCTGCTTCTCCCTCTGCCTGTGTCTCTGCCTCTCTCTCTCTCCCTCTGTGACTATCATAAATAAATAAAAATAAAGAAAGAAAGAAAGAAAGAAAGAAAGAAAGAAAGAAAGAAAGAAAGAAAGAAAGAGAAAGAAAGAAAGAAAGAAAGAAAAAAGTAGAAAGGTAGGATAATCAGGAGAATATGGTATATAGGAAGCAAAGGGACTGGTCATTTGTGTCAAATGCTGCTAATGAGTCAAGTAGAGTGATGATGAGCACTAGAGCGCTGATTCTGGCAAAGTGATTTTGTTATTTAGCTAGAAATGTTTTAACGGGTATGGGAGTTGAAATATTTTTGGAATGAATTACAGAGAAAGGCAGAGGATGGTCTTTTCAATCAATAGTGGTACATAACTACATCAGAAGCTAGGTATCTTGAGTCCTATCTCACATCATAAAATCTAATCTGGGTAGATTATAGGTCTAAATATGAAAAGCAAAATAGTAAAAGCTTCAAGAAAACAATATGAGTATATTCTCATGACCTTGGGATTAGACTGCCTTAAAATTAAAAACTTCTATTCATCAAAACATACTATTGTGAGAGAGTAAAAGCGCCAGCCCCAGAGTGTGAGAAGAGATTTGCAAATATGTTGGTTATATTCAGAATATATTAAGAATTACTACAAAGAACAATATAGCCCAGAAACTACCCAAATGATGCTTGAATGAAATGAATTCATCACTTGATGAAATGGATAAACAATAAATGTTATTCTGTACAATTGAATATTACTCAGCCATTGAAAAAGGAATGAAGTACTAATACATTTTACAACATGGTTGATCCTTGAAAACATTGTAGTGAATGAAAAAAGACACAAAAGGTTACATATTGTATGATTCCATTTGTATGAAATTTCCAGAAAGAACAAATTCATAGAGACACAAAGCAGACTAGTGGTTGCCTAGGGGCTGGGAGTAAGAAGGGAAGAGGAAATGACTGTGGATGTGGGATTTCTTTTTGGCATGATGAGAATGTTCTGGAATTAGTGATCTGATGGTAGCACAACATTGTGGATGTATTCAAAGTTACTGAATTATACACTTCAAAATGGTTAAACTGGCAGATTTTATATGAATTTATCCACACACACAAAATTAGTTAAATTGGACAAAATATCTGAGTTGGCAGTTTATTAAAGAAGATATCCAGTTGGCTAATAAACATATGAAAAATGCTTAGCCTCACTTGTCATCAGGGAAATTGCAAATTAAACCACAGTAGAATATCATAACATATCTGCCAGTATGCCTGAATGTAAGATAGACATTAACAAGTGTTGGTAAGGATGTGAGGAACTGGAACTCTTTTACAGTGTGATAAGAAAATGAAACTATTGGATACTGTCAACTCTGAACAAATGCATATCCCATAATACAACAGTTTCATTCCTAAATGTATATATTTAGCAGAAAGTCCTATTTCCACCTAAAGAAATCATAGCAGTACTAATCATAATAGCCAACAATTGAAAACAACCCAAAGGCTGATCATTAGGAAAATGGGGGGGGGGGGGATGTGTTAGAGTAGAATGCTTTATACAGCTATCAGTCTTAAGCTTTTTCTTCTGAAACAGCCTCTGAAAAGCTCCAAGAAAGACTTTGGGATATCCTAATTGTTGAAAGGAGGTTAGTGTTGTTGTAGCACATGAATAAAATGGAATAGACTCAAAATGAGGTCATATAAGTAAAAAGAGGGCCATGTGTTCTCATGATAAAGAATTGGATTTTTACATTTCAGTTCAATGGAAGCTACTTTAGTTTGGTTATAGGTTTGGTTGCATGTGACAGAGACTCAATAATGGCTTAAATGATATAGCAGATTAATTTTCTCTTGTATTAAAGTCCAAGCTGGATTGGAAGCTCTTCTCTGCAAAACCATAATGTGACATGATACCACATCCACATTGCAGTCTGAGGAAATGGAAGAATAAAGGATATAGGGCATGGGCTTTTAACATTTCAGAAACTACTATGTAATACACATATTTTAAGGCAGAATCCAGTTATATTGCATATTCTTCTGCAAAAGAAATGCAGTGTTTATATTGGGCAGCCCTTTTCTCAATTAAAAACCATAGGTTCAATCAATATACAATATACATTTGGGAGCAATTAGCAGTCTCCATATAAAAATCTTTTGGCTTGGTGTAAAGTGTTAAACATATACTCTTGTACATTCTGATTCAGTTGATCCCATTTTTTTTTAAGATTTTGTTTATTCATAGAAACAGAGAGAGAGAGAGGCAGAGACACAGGCAGAGGGAGAAGCAGGTTCCATACAGGAAGCCCAACGTGGGGCTCAATCCCGGGTCTCCAGGATCACACTCCAGGCTGCAGGCGGCGCTAAACCGCTGCACCACTGGGGCTGCCCAGTTGATCTCATTTTAAAACTGACTCTGGTAGATACTGTTTCATTTTATCTAGAATGTTTCCTAAACACCCATAATTGCAACAAACTCTGAGATCAAAATGTCAGAACCATTGGTGCACCTGGCTGGCTCAGTCAGTGGTGTGCGTGACTCTTGGTCTTGGGGTTGTGGGTTTGAGTCCCATTTTGGGTGTAGAGATGGCTTAAAAATAAAATCTTTTTTTAAAAGTTTCAGAACTGGGATCCCTGGGTGGCGCAGCGGTTTGGCGCCTGCCTTTAGCCCAGGGCGCGATCCTGGAGACCCGGGATCGAATCCCACGTCGGGCTCCCGGTGCATGGAGCCTGCTTCTCCCTCTGCCTATGTCTCTGCCTCTCTCTCTAGCTCTGTCTCTGTGTGACTATCGTAAATAAATAAAAATTAAAAAAAAAAAAAAAAGTTTCAGAACTATTGACTTGTTAACTCCTTCACTTTGTCCTATGAACTCTCATTTATCTGTGTTCATACCCTTTTTTTTCATTTAGTTGCATGATGGTATTTAAGAGCTCTCCAAGCTTTTCATTTCTTATGTGAATTGTTTTTCAGTTACCTCTCTTTTCTACCATAGATTTTTTATTTCTTTTGTAACACAAAGCTAGCAATTAAAATGTGTTTCTTATCTTTCAGACTTGGTGTCCAGGTATGAGGCCAAGAAGTTATCTCCAAAAAGAGACATTTATGAGACAGAACCATCCCGATGGACTATCATGGAACAATTTAAAAGTCATAATCCTGAGAAGTCCATTTTCAGAGATATCTGGGAACGCAGTAGTCAGTTTGAGACACAACAGGAACAGGAGGACTATTTCAGGCAGTTTGTTATCAACCACAAACACTTGCCTATATTTAACCAAAATACTTTACTCACTCAGGAATTTTATAATAGAGAAAAAATCTTTGAATGTAAAGAATGTAGGAAAAACTTCAGTTACCATTTATTTTTTAGTCATCACAAAAGAACTCATTCTAAAGAAAAATGTTCTGAATGTAAGGAATGTGCAGAAACTGTTAATACATCGTATCTTACTAAACAGAAAACTCAAGATAGTAGCAAGTGCAGTGAATATAAGGAATGTTGGAGGGCTTTTATTCATTGTTCACAACTTAAACAACACCTGAGAATCCACAATGGTGAAAAACGCTATGAATGTAAAGAATGTGGAAAGGCCTTTAATTATGGCTCAGAACTTATTCTGCATCAGAGAATTCACACTGGTGAAAAACCCTATGAATGTAAGGAATGTGGGAAGGCCTTTAGGCAGCGATCACAGCTTACTCAACATCAGAGACTTCATACTGGTGAAAAACCTTACGAATGTAAGCAGTGTGGGAAGGCTTTTATTCGTGGCTTTCAGCTTACTGAACATCAACGACTTCATACAGGTGAGAAACCCTATGAATGTAAAGAATGTGGAAAGACTTTCAGGCATCGCTCACACCTTACTATACATCAGAGAATTCATACTGGTGAGAAACCCTATGAATGTAGAGAATGTGGAAAGACTTTTAGCTATCACTCAAGCTTCTCTCACCATCAGAAAATTCATTCTGGCAAAAAACCTTATGAATGTAGTGAATGTGGAAAGGCCTTTTGTGATGGCTTACAACTTACTCTACATCGGAGGATTCATACTGGTGAGAAACCCTATGAGTGCAAGGAATGTGGGAAGACGTTTAGACAGTGCTCACACCTCAAAAGACATCAGAGAATTCACACTGGTGAGAAACCTCATGAATGTCTGAAATGTGGTAAGGCCTTTAGACTTCATTCACACCTTATTCAACATCAGAGAATACATACTGGTGAGAAGCCCTATGAATGTAAAGAATGTGGGAAGGCCTTTAGCTATCATTCAAGCTTCTCACACCATCAGAGAATTCATTCTGGGAAGAAACCTTATGAGTGTGGAAAGGCCTTTAATCATGGCTTGCAGTTTAATCTACATAAGGCACTTCATACTGTTAAGGTGCCAGTAAGGCTTCCTTTCCTCTCTGCTCACCCAAGTCTGACATCATGAGATTATTTTTAGAAATATAGGTTTTCTTTTTTTTTTCCTTCAAGGTAAAAGTTGGTAAAATACTGAATTTCATTAGTATTGATTTATTTCAGTAATTCTTTTTTTTTTAAAGATTTTTATTTATTTATTCATAGAGACAGAGAGAGAGAGAGAGGCAGAGACACAGGCAGAGGGAGAAGCAGGCTCCATGCAGGGAGCCCGACGTGGGACTCGATCCCAGGTCTCCAGGATCACACCCCAGGCTGCAGGCGGCACTAAACCGCTGCGCCACAGGGACTGCCCTATTTCAGTAATTCTTGAAAAAAAAAAAAAACCTTCAAGCAGGAAAATGGAAAAGTATTTAACAGGTAAAAAACTGAAATTGCTCTGGTTTCAGTGCAGTTTCTGAATTATAATAACCAGTATTGAAAATAAATTTTATGAAAGTGTTTTTAATGAAACCAGTAAAACATGGCAGAAATAAAATGAAAACAATTTCTTCCCCTCACACAAATCCTTGAGATCGCCAATATGTGTGTGTTGCTCCTTCCTGCTCAAACATACCTGCAAATATGAAGTGTTTATTGTATATGTGTGGAAGGTCATACCACCTGTAGTGGCATAGCAATTTTTTTTTGCATTTGAATAATTGTGGACATTTTCCCAGGTGACTATATATGGATCTAATTCATTATTTTTAAAGCTTCAGAATATTTCTAGCTCACTGTTTTTAAAGCTTTAGGATTTTCTAATATGGGATATATGTCTGTATTTTAAGCCATTCCCTACTGTAGATATTCAGTCATTTCTATTTTTCATCACAAATGATCATATAATAAACATTCTACCTTGTCCTTCTTTTATTTCCATTGATTAGATTACCAGCCATGAGAGTGTATGTATGTTTTTATGTTACGTTGACTTTTTAATTTAAAAAAATGTTTTAGGTAATAAAAGCACATGCTACGAAGTTCAAAAGTTATCAAACAGTAAAAAGTAAAGCTTCCATAATATCTGGTTCTATAGCCACCTGCTTTACCTACATGAGGTCAACAATAGCTGTCAATTCTTTTGTATTCTTCCAGGGATTAATTTTTTTTTAATTCTTTGGATAAAATGGAGTAATCATAGTTTCATAATCTTTTACTCATGAAATTCTCGTTATTCAAAATTTAGCCCTCTTTAGTTTATTTTCTGTATTTCCCAGGGATTTACAGACATTGTGCCATCATTTTATTTTCTTTCTGTTCCAACTCTTTTCATTGCCTGCTCTGCAATATTGGAACACTCTTCTTTTGTGTATAATATTGTTTGAACCCTCTCTCTGTTTTTTTCAACTTGGTCTTTTCAAAAACACCAAGTCTTAGTTTTATTGATCTTTTCTGCTGTCTTTTTAAAAGTCTCTTTTGGGACGCCTGGGTGGCTCAGCGGTTGGGCGGCAGCCTTCAGCTCAGGTCGTGATCCCGGGATCCGGGATGGAGTCCCGCATTGGGCTCCTGCGAAGAGCCTGCTTCTCCTTCTGCCTGCGTCTCTGCTTCTCTCTCTGTGTGTCTCTCATGAATAAATAAATAAATTTTAAAATAAGATAAAAAAGTCTCTTTCAGTTATATCTGATCATAGGTGTTTATCATTTCCTTCCTTATGCAAACTTACAGCTTAGTTATTTTTTTCTAGTTCCTTGAGGTATGAAATTACATACTTAAGTTTTTTTTTTCTTAATGTAGGCTTTTAACCCTGTAAGCTCCCCTCTTAGAATTGTATTTGCTTTATCCCATACATTTGTTTCCATTTTCATTTTTCTTAAGATACTTTTTGATTTCTGTTTTGATCATTGTTTTTTCAGGAGTGTATACTCTTGAAAATACGTGATTTTCACATATTTGTGAATTTTCCAGTTTTCCTCCTGTTAGTAGTTTTGGGTGTTTTTTTTTTTTTTTTTAGATTTTGTTTATTTATTCATGAGAGGCACAGAGAGATCAGCAGAGACCTATGTAGAGGGAGAAGCAGGCTCCTTGTGAGGAGCCTGATGCAGGACTTGATCCCAGGACCCTGTGATCATGACCTGAGCCAAAGGCAGATGCTCAACCACTGAGCCACCCAGGTGCCTCTGTTAGTAGTTTCAAACCATTGTAGTCAAAAAAGTTACTTGATAGGATTTCAGTCTTAAATGTGGTAAAACTTGTCTTAATGGTTGTATCCTGGAGAATGTTGTGTGTGTTCTTTTTTCTTTTGTTGTTGTTGTTGTTGTGTGTGTTCTTGAGAAGAATGTGTATTCTGCTGCTGTTGAATGGAATGTTCTGTGTATGTCCATTAGTTCCATTTGGTCTAAAGTTTTATTCAAGTGTTATTCACTTTTTCCTTATTGATTTCTGTCTGAAAGAGCTTATTGTTGAAAGTGGGGTATTAAACTTCTCTACTATCTTTGTAATGCTGTCTACTTCTCCCTTCATATCTGTCAGTTTTGCTATGTTTAAATGCTCTGATGTTGGATGCACATATATCTATAATTGTTATATTCTTTTTATGAATTGACCACTTAATGTGACCCTTGTGACAGATTTTGACTAAAAGTCAATTTTTAGATAGAATTATAACCACTCCTGCTCTGTTTTGATTATCATTTGCACAGAATATCTTTTTCTATCCTTTCACTTTCAGCCTATGTGTATTCTAGAGCTAAAGTGATTCTCTTGTAGGCAACATATTTGGGGATCTTTTTTCTTCTTTTTGGTCTGATCAGCTACTCCATGGCCTTGATTGGAGAATTTAATTCTTTATAGTTAATTAATGGTTGATAAGATCTTTTATTGCCATTTCATTCTTTGTTTTCTTACTGTATTGTAGGTCTTTTGTTCCTTTCTTCCTCTCCTGCTATAATCCTTTGTAATTTGATGCTTTTTAATTTTTTTCAAATTTTTAATTTTTTAAATAGGCTCTACCCACAGAGTGGGGATTGAACTCATAACCCCAGGATTAAGAGTTGCATGTCCCACCAAAAGTGCCAGACAGATGCCCCTGGTGATTTTTTTAAATAGAGATATACTTTGATTCCTTTCTCTATCTCATATCTACTATAGATTTTTTTCTTTGTGGTTACAGTGAGGCTTACGTAAAACATAAGTTTAAGCTATAATAACTTCAGTTGCATAAAAATGCCCTCCTTTTACCTCTGCTCTCCCCTCAAGTTTTATGATATTGATGATACATTTTATATATTTTTATATCACATATCAAATTGTCATAGCTAGTTATTTTAAAATATTTTTTGTTTTTTTAACTTTTATACTCAAATGTGATTTATGCGCCCTCTTAGCAATATCTGAGTATTCTGAATTTGACTGTTTACCTTTTCCATTCAGTTTATACTTTCCTAAGATTTTGTGTCGTTACTTAGTGTCCTGTTATTTCAACTTGAATTCCCTTTAGCATCTCCTTTAAGGCAGTTCTAGACTGGTGATGAGCTCCCACAGTTTTTGTGTGTTGGAGAATCTCTTAATCTCACCTCTGTAGATTTTTTTTCTTAAAGACTTTTATTTATTTACTCATGAGAGACACAGAGAGAAGACAGAGACAGGCAGAGGGAGAAGCAGGCTTCTCACAGGGAGCCTCATGTAGGACTCGATCCTGGAACTCCAGGACCATGCCCTGAGTCGAAGGTAGATGCTCAACTGCTGAGCCACCCAGGTGCTCCTCACCTCTGTAGCCTGCCATATATATCTTAAGTTATCAAAATCTACCTGTTGATTAATGTAGTTCCAGTTTAGAATATAGAGATATAGAAATGTTACTACCCATTACTTCTATTTCATCTCCATTTTGTGTTATTTTATATATTATATCTATATATGGGTTCATGAACCCAAACTTTATATTTGTGTCAGTTAAGATGCTGAGTAAAGGGCAGCCCTGGTGGCCCAGCGGTTTAGCTTCTGCCTTTGGCCCAGGGCGTGATCCTGGGGACCCGGGATCGAGTCCCACATCGGGCTCTTCATGACGAGCCTGCTTCTCCCTCTTCCTGTGTCTCTGCCTCTCTCTCTCTATGTCTCTCATGAATAAATAAATAAAATCTTAAAAAAAGATGCTGAGTAAAGAAGATGCAAAGTATATAGTATAGAGCTTATTATATTAACCTTATTTACCATTTTTATTACTCTTTGTTTACAGTGGATTCAAGTTAATATCTAGAGTCATTTCTTTATTCTATATAAGTTTGCTCCCACTTACCTTTGTGCTGTTATTATTTAATATAGTACATTTCAGTATGTTCTCCGCCTACCAGTACAGTTATATTGTATACAATTGTATAAATATTGTCTAGTATAAGCCCTGGCAGTTTTTTTTTAATAATGCAAGTGCCTGACTTAAACCAAGGCATCCATTTCAAAGAGGCATCCACTTCAAGATGGCTATTTCGAACACATTGCCAGCCACATGACTAGATAAAGAGCCAGGCTTCCCCTCTCTCAAGGCTTTTTTGTTTTAGATATCTTTCTTGGTTGATTTCAATAACTAAACATTTGGGCTACTTGTTTGTTTGTTTTTTTTTTCTTCCTGAGCTTTAAATTCCTGCTCTTATGTTCTAATTTCATCAATAAAAAGTATGCCCACAAAACCCTAGGCCCCCCACCCACAACCCCAATAAAAGTAGAACCCTTCACCCTCTGTCTCTCCTTGCAACCTTACTGTGTGGTTCCAGGGGTGTCATGTAACTTTTAGGTCTTGCAAGTAATATTTTCTTTTAAAGTTTCCTGATGTTTATTATTAAGGGTATCTTGCAATCACAATAAGAATCACAAGGGCCAGTCTACAATATTGGTTATCAATAGGTTGGGACTGATACAAAATATTGTTTTCTATATATAATTGCTTTTTGGATCAGTTAAGAGAAGAAATATGCTCTTGTGCTGTCTTTTCTAGTTACATCATTACCTTTATCAGTGCTTTTTTTGGTACAATCTCAGGTACTTGCTTTCATTCTGAAGAACTTTCTTTAGTGTCTGTTATAAACATATTCCGTCAGTTTTGGTTTGATTGCAATGTATTTCACCATTTAAAATTTTTATTAATTGATTGATTGATTCATTCATTTATTAAAGACTTTATTTATTTTAGAGAGAAAAAGAGAGTGAGCATAGTGAAGGGCAGAGGGAGAGGGAAAGAATCTCTGACTCCATGCTGAGTGCAGAGCCTGATGTAGGGCTTGATCCCATGACCTCAAGATCATGACCTAAGCTGAAACCAAGAGTCAGATGCTTAGCTGACTGAGCAACCCTGGCACCCCTCACCATCTTTTTTTTTTTTTTTTTAAGATTTTATTTCTTTTTTCATGAGAGACAGAGATGTAGGTAGAGGGAGAAGCAGGCTCAATCTGAGACAGAGATTTGGGTAAAGACACATGACCCAGGGCTACTTTAAGGAAGGCCTCAATCTCACTCCTGTAAAAGCTCATTATCAAAACTTCTGATTTAGGTCAGTTAAATCTATAATAGAGGTTTGGTAGGACTCAGAAAATACAGTGCAAAGTGGCAAAGCTCAAAGCGCAAACTCTCTAGACAGCAGTACAGATCAAACAACATGCTTTCCAGTTGGCAACTGAAAATGCATAGTTGCCAAAAGGCGACAGAGCTTGATAGCAAACCAAAGCATGAGAAGAAAGACCCCTGATAATAGTAGCTATTGCTTAGACATTCTGCCCACTGCTCTAATTTTTGCAGCCACCCTACAGATGTGGGATAGACTGTCAACTCAGAATTCGGTTTGGGTGTCAAAATTGATAGTAGCACATTTGCACCAACAGGATATAGAAAGGCTTATTACATAGTGAGATTTCTCTGGGGAGAATAAGGCAGGAT